ATACATCGCATAAAGTGATGTATCCGATCGATACATCGCGTAAAGTGATGTATTCGAGAATTCGATACACCACATAAAGTGATGTATCCAACCGATACATCGCGTAAAGTGATGTATCCGAGAATAAGAGAGTGTAGAGATTTTTGTAATATTTTCAAGTATGAAATTTTAAAGGACATGATAAAATAAATTATGTATTGAGATAATTTTCCTACATTTTAGGCCTCTAATTTGAAATTCGATTTGGACCTATATGTTAAATCTCTCATGGTTAAAGGTGAAAATATACCTAGTCCGATGAAATAATTAAGAGGTGTATATATTGAAAAGTCAGAAAACAATATGAATCATGGGAAAAACAAATAATGCCAATTATAAGAGGAATACATTTTGACAAGGGAAGTCACGTCGAAGTCCACTCAATTATTTTCAATTTTCACATGTACAATGTGTCAAAACTGAAACTACAAGTGGTTGTTGCCATGCAGATAAGACAAAGTAAATGAAATTATACAAGTTTTATATAAAGCATTTGTTAAAACACAATATATTTTATTTTAGTATATATATATGTGGTCAATCACAACTCACAGGTACCATCTCCTTTTTTTTCTTCTTTGTTGAAAATGGAAACCAAAACAGAAAATGACAACTCTCTTTCCTTACCCATGTTGGCTGATGACTGTGATAAAGCTGAGAAGGGAATTGGATCAGATAGACTTATTAGCAATGGCAAAACATCCTTTCTGAAAACAACTTTTCATGGACTCAATGCTCTATCAGGTTCTTTCTAATTCTTTGGGTCTTTGGTTTCTTCCCTTTTTATACACAAGTTTAAGAAAGCTTTTTTTTTTTAATCTTATTGTCTTAAAATAAAGATAATCTTAAACATGTCATGTGGAAAATAGAAATTAAAAGAGTTATGAAAAAAGAAGAGTCATTTTATAAAAAAAAAAAACTAAAAAAGAAAATGCGTCAAATAAATGAAACAGAGGGAATATAACATTTCCTTTGTTATAAGATCATATCATTGATGAATTTTTTATTTCCTTAGGAGTTGGGATTTTGTCGACTCCATACGCATTATCATCAGGAGGGTGGTTAAGCATGATTCTTCTTCTTCTAATTGCATGTGTAACTTTCTACACATCCTTATTAATAAAGAGATGTATGGATTTTGATCCAACTATTACAAGTTATCCCGACATTGGAGATCGTGCATTCGGAGCAAGAGGAAGAATATTGGTTTCAGTTTTTATGAATCTAGAACTTTACATGGTTGCAACTGGTTTTCTAATTCTTTCAGGGGACAACTTGCATAATCTGTTACCAGATGTGAACTTTGAGTTTTGGGGACTCCAATTTGGTGGAAAACAAAGTTTTGTCTTGATTGTTGCTCTCCTCATATTGCCAACCATATTGTTAAAGAACATGAGCATTCTTGCGTATGTATCAGCCTCTGCAGTATTAGCTACTCTCGTGATTATTGGTTTGATTTTCTGGGAAGCAACGTATGATGGCATTGGATTTCATAAAAGTGGAGTAGTTGTGAATTGGGGAGGAATCCCTACATCGTTTAGCTTATATGCCTTCTGTTATTGTGCCCATCCTGTTTTTCCAACTCTCTACACTTCAATGAAAAACCAAAACCAATTTTCTAAGGTAAATAAACTACGCATGCAAAATCACAAAATTTCATTATTACTATCACAAATAGTATTTGACTTTGATAGTTTCATTAATTCTTGCAGGTAATGCTTGTGTGTTTTGTGTTCTCTACCGTAACCTATGCATCAATAGCAATTATGGGATACTTAATGTTCGGCTCTGATCTGGAATCACAGGTCACATTGAACCTTCAACCGGAAAAATTTAGCTCAAAATTGGCTATATACACAGCTTTGATCAATCCAATAGCCAAGTATGCATTAATGATGACACCAATTATTAACAGACTTGAGGAGCGTTTGCAGTCATATTGTGACAAAAAATCATTTAGCTACCTGAACAGGACTATATTAATGATAAGCAGTGTCACTGTGGCTCTAACTATACCCTTTTTTGGGTATCTCATGTCACTAGTTGGAGCATTTCTTAGTGTCACAACTTCAATTTTGGTACCATGTTTCTGCTACGTGAAGATTTTGGGCACTCATAAGAAACTTGGATATGAGCTAGTCATAATAGGATTTATAATTATAATGGGGATCATTGTCTTAGTTACCGGTACATACACATCCATGGAGGAAATAATACACCTCATGTAATTATGTATTTTACTAAAAAATATTTGTGTGTTCTAAAGTTTTCAATAGTTGTTTAACTTGTTATGAAAACAAATTGCTACTGTTACTAAATCAAAAATGATCTTAAGCGGTAATTAATTAATAAACAATAACTTAATTGACGCTAAATATGTATTTTAGCAATAATTAACACGTTTTGTATGTCTTTGTAGCCTTTAGAGATATTGAATCTAATGACACTTAATTAATGCTGGTAAAAACTTTAGCACTCTTTATTAATGTGTATATTTATTATCGCTAAAAGTTATTTTTATTATAGTATGTAATAATCAAGTACTCTAGATGATTGAGTATGAAAACACATTTTTGGATAATTATTATATCATGGAGTACAGGTGGAGTGTATATGTAAACAAAGAGATAAGTATAATGAAAAAAACGAATCCATGTGAGCTTGCCTAATGAACTATATTTGAATTGCTAAAATTCTTAATCAACGCTCGACCACTAATTTACGTAAGTATCTATTCAGAATAAGATAAAATAATTATACATCAATTAATAATACATAGATTAATTGACTGAAAAAATCTAAAAGATTTAAATTTTTGCTGATATTAAAACATAGACAAAAGAAAAAATTCATTGTGAATATAATATCAAACTTACCTCTCTTATTTTAATTTCCTTATAATAGTTATTTTAAAGTGTTCATTAAGATAATATAATTAATTTATCCCTTTTAATATTTTACTTTTTTCAAACGATATTTTTAATATATTTTAAAAACTACCTTATTCAATACCCATCACCAGCATATTTATTTGTTCACGTTATGATTCACTCATATAAAGTAAAAATATAAGGTGGTCAATCTATTTTTACAAGTTTACGATATAATAAATAAAGTTACCCATATAATAAATAGAGTTGCCCTTGCTCATGTTTTGATGGAAAATAATATTCATTTTATGTTTATATATATAGAGAGAGAGAATTCTTAAACAGAAAGGAAGAGGCCACGTCATTTGAAGGATTAATTTGTAACAAAGACAAAAAAATCAATACCATCACTACAACATTTTATGTCTTCAACTACGCTTTTCTGGGGGTGACATAAAGAAGTGTAACCTTAGACTTTAGGCCACACTTTCAAGTGTTGTCTTATCAGCTACACTTCAAAAGTGTGGCCTATAATGTAAAAAGGTCACGCTTTGCATTACCTCTTATAGCAACATGTCTATCTCCTACAACTACACTTTTAACCGTAGCCTTTACTTTCTTATTGGCTATGCTTCTGAAGCGTAGCATTTTCTAGCTTATCTATAACAGCACTTTGAACGGTAGTCTTTACCAATATAAATATGACAATTTCCAATTAATAAGCTACACAATTAGCGTCTCTATGGCAACACCTTTGAAGGGTTGCAATGTTATTTTGGCTATAAAAATATTTAGATGCCAAAAAATTTTAATTGAAAAATGAGAATATTGTTGTACAATAAATAAGCATTAAATTAGCTAATAAATAATTCAAATGTATAGATTTGCAATAAACATAAAATAATTTGTCTTGTACTACACATACTTATAAAGCAATACTTTATGTGCTACCAATAAATTTCACAAAACCAAATATAATATATTCAAACTTCTACAATAGTTCAAAACCTCTACATCATCTGCCTCAATCAATCGAATTGATTGCCGACACTTTCCTACACATTCAAAATAAAATTAAAAATTAGAAACAAACCATGATCAACAAATCAAACATTAGAAAGAAACCATGTTCATTGTTTTCATCTTCTGTATCCTCATTATAGAAATGACTCAGTTAAAGAGGTTGAGAAGGTAATCACTCACCCGCCTTTTGAGTTCATCCCTCATGCTGGAGGAGTATTTCTCAGATGTTTTCTGAAGGAACAAGTAACAAAAACACAATCAGTTTATTATTTTCTTTCGCTAGTAAATCGAGTTTCAGTTAAAGAGAACATGGAGAGGGCGGAGCAAGCAACCAAACAGACTTAATATACAGTAAATTGGTTACCTGCTTATGGTAGCTGCATTATGTTCCACGCAGCCTGCAAATGTTCTCAATCAGTACCTGCTCAGCAATTTGAAATTGCAATTAGATTGAGTGCAGACTGAGAGAGATCTGGAGATAGGATTCATGATACTCACATGAGGTGTGACGGTAGTTGTTGTGGTTATATTTTGTCTTTGATGTTGGGGCATGGAGAAATCCTTCACCAACGTTATGAGGGACATCATTTAAGTTGATGAGAGTAGTTGTCTTGTTTCCAGTTGAGTAGTTCATCATGTTATCCCCAGCTTCATAGCAAGTTACACTAGATATGGTGGAGACAGTAACAGTGACTGCTCGTCTTTCAGGGACAGGCCTGACAGGAGATGCTAGGTTGTTGTTATGAAAATATTAGTGTGAGGCAGCAATGAAGGTGGAGCTATGGCAGTAGAAGAAGAGACTGAGGGTGGTGTTTGGACCATATGAAGATCCTCAACCTGGACCACAACCTGAGGGGACATGTTACAACCACTACTCTTGCGGACCATGTTTGGCCAAAGGAAACTACCCTGGGGTTTGCACAGTCTGAAGCCACTCTTAAGCCTTTGTATCTTGGCAGCTTTTCCCTCAGCTGCTGGGGGAGTATTTTTTGCTTTTCTGGGGTTAATTGCTATTAGTTCCTTGCTCTTATCATTTGATCTCTCCATTGCTACATCTACTGCTTGCACTCACTGTTTCTCACTTCCTTGTTCCACTTCATTTCTCTTAACTTCAGCAAATTGTTCAGGCGACAACATAAATGTTGTGATCGCCTTATCTTTTTCTTCCAGTTTAGACACCAGGTTCAGAACTTTTTCCTGTATATATATCACCCAATAAACATTTAATAGTCGACAGAAATTACTAGTACTAAAAACATCACGACTCCTACAGTAACATGCATATCCTACAGTAAAAAGTGAATAAAGGCATATAGAAAAATGATCTCTCGTCAATCCAAAAAAAATAGTGCAAACTAGATTCTGTAAATGAGATCACAGAGATAATACTTACTAGGAAGGCCTGGAGTTTTCTGTACATGTGAGAATAGTTTAACCAAGTGGTGAGAGCAAAAACAAAAAAAACTACTAGCATGTGAGAATAGTTTAATTAACTGAACCTGCAACTAATATGTTGTCCAATGGGTAGTCCCAACACAGAAGTGGGCATTGGAAGTTCAAATCTGAATCTCGCCACACTATGGCAAGGTGTGTGCGCTTAACAAGCTTAAATGCCCTGAATTCTTCAGGGTTTAAACATACTGTTAAGATAACAAGATACAATCAGTCAGTATAACCGAGATCAAAGGCATAAAAAACAGAACTAGGCACAGTTTTGTTAGTGACTTGAGAAAATAAACTAAATCAGAACATATCTTGACATCTTTAACATAAGATAAAATCACACAGCACCCCTAGCTCTATAGGGTTCGAACGTTCTAACTTGATTATATAAATGAATAAGAATGAGACTGAGTTGAAACACTAGAGGATTGCTGATACATACACAAAAAATTATCAAGTTATGAACACCAGTATCCCAATTCCATGTTTCTTAATGGGAGATGTAGCTTGTTACAAACTAAACATGCATGACTGATAGTTTCTGAACACACCTATATTGCTCGGATTCTCCAAAAATGCAGCCACACAGGTATCAAATCCTTAAAAAATGCACTACTTTTGAACAATCCAACACGTACCCTGTGGCATTTTGAAAAGTCCAAGCAACATAGATACACAACCACACACACACCCCAAGTCCACAACCATTTCCATGAAATATTAGCTACACTACCATTAATTTCAAAACAATCTACCTGTTTCTCCTAAATAACAAGCATACATAAGTGCAATCAACAGTTTTTCTTATGCTGGAAATGGGTAAAATAAATTAAATCAAACCTTTGGACTTCTTGGAAGAGAAGTAAAAATAAGCTGTAACACCAACAGCAACAGCTGCAGCAGCAACTCCAATAATCAATTGAGCATCAGGTCTTTCCAAGAACTCCATTTCTCAAAAATAAAAATCGATCTTTACACAAACAGTAGAAAAAAACACAAACTTCAGTTAGTTCTCTCCACAAAACAAAACATATCAACCTTTGAATCTCAAATTCAGATAAAGATCCAAGATTCTTAAATCACTGAACTAAAAATCTGATCTTTAAACAGATATAAGCAAAAAACACAAAAGGGTGTTGATTTACTACAAATTTGCTACTTTGGCCGTCGCTTGCTCATAACTCAAACTTAAATGTCCCAACACAAATTACAATACCTTGGAGTTCCTTGATATTCTCACTAGAAGAGATGTCTTGTGCCTGAAACCAGAGAGATTCCAATAATAAGATTGATTAAAATTGATGATTAGAATTTAGCAAACCTCAACTAATACTATACCTCCTCAATATTCTAAATGTAAAATTTAGCAAGGGAGCTTTTTAAGTTCAATTGACAACAAATAGACCTGAAGCTAATGTAAGCTCCTTCTAGATTGCTATATTGTCTTGGAGATGCTCGTCTCTTGAAATCTATACTCTAGAGATTCAGTATAGTTTGACTAAAACCAAATACTGCGTCTGTTGCAATGATGCATGGAGAAAAGAAACAAATCCTAATTGTTAACCTAAAATGGCAGCTAGAGAAGCAAAGCTAGATGCCGAAACATTCTCTCCCTAAGGGTTTCAATAAATGAATTAGAACCTGAAAAAATAGAATCATTAATTAATTAAAATATGAAAAAAGGTTAGCAATGGTCACTTGCAATGACCATCAATGAGTCGCACGAACTGGGTAAAGTAATCAGTAACACAAGACAAAATGTTCGACAACCAACAAGAAACAGATGCTCCCCAGTTTTTTTCAACTCCCTCAACAGCAGCTACAATTGCCTTTCCTTTCTCTGCTGCCCTTTCAAGGCGAGCAACAACATCATAAAGACATTTTGCTATATCAAGCAAAGCAATGTCCTAACCATTTTCTACAACTGGCCGATGTCTAAATTTTCCTGCAGTGAGTAAGTAATCAACCATACTCAGGGTGAGATGTAGCATTAAGTTGCAAAAAAGTAACACATTCTGTTATTTCAAATACACCAACCTAGCACCATTTTCTGCAATACTTCTACAGCAAGTGTGTCTGAAAGCACAAAAACAGGATGTTTTGTCATATCCTTTGAAATAGGTGTTTCCTGAATATTGACTTCACATGCAATAACTCTGGTTGTTATATCCTTCAGGAAGAAAGAAACACAGATACACAAAGAAAGAGTAAGTCAACTATATCAACTTAGACTTGAGTCTACTGAGTGAAAAGCAGGATTGAGTATTAACCTTATCCATCAATATACCACATAGTAATGCATTCGAGTCAGTCAGCAATAAAGCATCAACTCTGCGAGCAACCATCCTGCGCCAAGCATCATAAATACTTGTAGAATCAGGTACCGTTAGAGCTTTAGAAAGCCGGAGTCTCTTCACTATCCTCTCTCCAGTCAGACCCCTGTTTCATATGTCAGAGAGAAGCACTCATCTAATTTGAAAAGTAATACACAAGTGAGGTTAATAATCCAACAGTAAACCTGACCCTATGATTATATAAATTAAAGGACTCAAGAAGGCATCTACAACAGTAAATAATTCTGTTTGTTTCTAGAGAGATGTCACCATGCTCGATGTTCCTACTTCACAATCATTAATCAGCTACATATAAGGTATTATGATAAACCAAATGACTACGATATAGAGAAACTCGTTGTATTCCTATATTACCTAGGAAACTTCCAAGCAATAGAATACAGAGAAAAATAGAGAACAGTTGAAACAATATTCATTCAGATCAAACAACCAACTGCAGAACATGTAAGCTTGCTTTCTTTGACGTACAATAAAAACACAAACGCTCATTACTTTAGAGTATAGTTTGGCTTAAACCACATAGGACAGTCTTTATATTCAAGAATTGTAGTACAACATAAGTGGTACAGGACATTGAAGATTAAGAAGCTACAGGCTGAAAAATTATTGCCCATGGATCAATGTGAGCGAAAGATATTACACAATGCAAATTTTATTTTTTTCTTGCAAAAGAAGAATAAAATAAGAAGTAAGAAAAGTATTCAGAATACTCCTAAACAATTGTGTTTAGCGAAACAAACAAAAGATTTATCAAGGTACTTCAATCAAGTTTTAGGATAACATATCATCTAATACCTTCAGAAATTTATGTTTTTTTAAAAAATAAGAACATGCGCATCAGATATGCCTTGGGGATCCAACCTCCGCCTCTTAGTCTCGATAGATAACTTCCCCTTTTTTGCATCATTTTTTACCTTAGCTCTTTCAATGGTTTGACTTCAGAATTTTTAAAATTGTGTGATAATTTACAGTCTTCTAATGTGAAGTTTCTCATGCCCTCAGCTCACCAACATCACCTTATCAGTGTGAAAATATAAAGTTCCTTAGACATGTACAAGCTTTTGGATAAATATATTAATCTTAGCTTACTCCTGATGTCCATGCTACCTAAAACTAAAAGCATCTTAGTCATACATAGGCTCACATAATCTAAATGCAAACAAAATGAATCACAAACATTTTAAAACTCAATTTATAGCACCACTCCAGAATACCTGGCCAATTTAAATGGATAACCATTTTAATCTTTATGTAATATAATGAAACAGAAATTCTGAAAAAAAGAAGATTATTTAGATCTAAAATTGCATCTAACATTTCAAAAATGCATAGAATGAAAATATAACTATATAAATTATGATTTTTAAATACCAACAGAGCCAGTCTGATGAACGAGAATAAGGATGCAATATATGAGTCCAGTGACTGATTGTATCTCCCTTGCAAGAGCTAGTATTTGCTCCCGTAGATTCCTCAATTCCTCCAAACGATGTTGGAATTCTTGAAGCTGTTTTTCCAGTTTCCCAGTTGAAGACAAGGGATATCACCATATGTCATCGAAGAAGAGAGAAATATACAACGACAATGAGATTTGCTGAACAATGAACTCGATAAGGCTACAAAGGAGAATTTATGGATGGAAATGAGAAGGAGAGGGAAATAGGGTTTAGGGTATGAGAACAACTCCTGGTTTTATTTGGGGCAAAACGTTTTGATTTGGGCAAAAAAATAGCTCCTATTTTAATTTGGACTAGTTCTTGTATTTCACGCTAAGTAATTTATTTTTAAAAAATATTAGATTAAATGTGCAATGAATTATATGAATTTTGAAAGGAAAAATTACCTTTTGTTTGATTTACACTTCTAAGTCATTTCATCTTTGAATTTAACATAAATAATTAGTAAAATTGTATATATATAATATCAAATGTAACATGACAAGCTATTAAAATCAATGTGTTTTATGCATTACAACACCACATTAGACAAATAACTTCAAATTTTGGATTAAACCTCTAAAGTATATAATCTCATACATAACACTTTTTTTCTATAGTAATCCATGCAATTACATATTAAAGTGTAACACAAATTAAAGATTAACAACATAAAGACAATAATTTTAACTAATTAATCAACATCACCTAGGAGGTAAACTACCACGAAATGGTTCTTTTACAAGAACTGCTTCACTTCTTGTTGCCTCAAATCTGCAATCGGCTAGAAGAATCTCTAGCTTTCAATTATATGATATAATTTGAATAACAATACAGTTACCTAAATTACTGTGCAAAACAATTGGAACTGTATCCTATACTTTTTCCAAAAATATTATGTGTATTATATAAAACTTAATAGAGTACATGAAAAGTTTTCTAATGGATGAAAATTAAAAGAATTAACAAATTTAAAATTAATGGGATAAGTGCATATAATTATATAGTAAAAGATAAACTACACTAAGGGCTAGACAGATTCATTAACTTCACATTAATGTTTCACAATTTATTGATTTATTATTAAAAGGTAAATGTATTATTTGATTGATAGTATAAAATTATTCTGAAAAAGTAGTGTGTAGATAGGGGTACAAAATATCCCATAAGAAGGTGACTTAAATGTATATATTCATGAAATAGTGGCAAAACGAACCAACAAAATATTTTGTAATAATTTAAATTTAATTATTCATATAATTTTACCTTTTTATAGATCTTTTCTGATGCGCATTCCTTGAACTTTTTTATTCATATATTTATTATTCCTAGTTAATAATTAGTCTACATTTAATTACTCAATGCAACTCTTCCAATTCTTCTATTTATTTAGCAACGAAGAGGCTTATTTCGTAAATTCAAAAGGGTCATTTTGATTTGATTCAATGCATGTTAAAGTAGCATACCAAGACATTAAATTGGTATAAAAAATTGAAAAATAAGTTAAGGAAGTTGAAACGAAACCAAAATATTGAATAGAGGACAATTTTAGGAAGATGAAAAAGCTAGCAATTCCAAGACATTGAATATAGGCTGCTGTAATTGTGTGATAATTAAAATATTACTCCTATTTAATTAGAGTAGATATTTTATTTATTACATTAGGGTGCAGTAATTGTGTAACAATTTAAATATTGTTACTAATTAGATTAGATATTTTTATTTAGTAAAAGGGTAAAAGAGTAATTCAATTTTGAAAATTGAGCCTCCCACTTATAATAATATATGATAAAGAGCAGCTTCTATTTTAATTTGGGGAAAAATGTTTTTTAGAGTATATTTCATTGTATAGAATTTTTCTTTTATGAGTTCCTTTTTTGACAAATTAGAAACTGGGGGGAAAGTTAAATATATTGGAGGGAATACAATATTTTAGTGAAAATTTTGAGAAAATTATAAGGCTACACTTGTATAGTGTTGTTTTTAAAATTATAAAAATAGCACATTTTAAAAGTGTAGTCATATGTGTAAATAGGCATTGCCAAATATGTCATGATATGGCAACACTTATAAAGTGTAACCTATACCACTAAAGAGTATGTTTTACAAGTGTAGCTAATGTTACCGTGGCCAAAAACTAAAAGCTAAGGCTACACTTTAAAGTGTACCCAAAAATATTTTAGGCAACACTTTATAAGCGTTGTCCAGATTTAGTGTGGTCTTAGACCTAAAATGTTATAGTGCATAAAAATCTTGACTAGAATAAAAATTCAAGACTATGAGATAGAAACCATCGCTCTAGTAGATTCAGGATATACGAGGAGTATAATAAAT